TGGAGAATTTCTGCAGATTGCACGGCTTTCTGCTGTACTGGAAGTCAGCAGTGTATGTGGTGAAGAGGAAGGGGGACAGCACAGTTCCCTGGGGGGTCCCGATTTCACGATCAGTGATCAGAAACACAGTTCTGTAATCTCACAAACCCAAGTGATGAGGGGAGCACTCACCTGCGTGTTCTTCAGTTTTGTCTTCAGCAGTCTGGGCTGGATGGCATTGAAGGTGCTGGATAAGTCGAAGAACATGACCCGTACTGAGGTGTTGGGTCTGTCCAAGCCTTCTACAGCAGGTAGACGTCCTCGAGAACTGAGAGGCATAAAACCCTCCAGCTCCTCCAGGCGTCCATCGTGAAACCCGCTGGGTGAGTCCCGGCTGGACAAGTTGCAGCCCCTGCAGCTTGTCTTTGGTTAAAGATTTTGTCAATTGCGTTGAGAGACCAGCCGACCAAATCCATGGTTGATGTTAGGCTTTAGGAAGTGAAAATGCAGAAAGAGGCTCTGAGATACGACAGGACAAAGATAGCAAGCAGGCAAAAAGGGCAGGGGAGGGAGCAGAGAGAAACACGTCTGCACTCGCCGAGAGCCGGAAGAAGAAAGTTCTTTGTCTGTGGCCCAGAGAAACGAAGATAAAGTGTCATCACTCACCTTCAGACACACTTTAAGACACAGACACACAATGTAAAGGTAATAGTAGATTCAGACCTGAACTTCAACAGCCACATTAAATCAGTAGCCTTTTACCATCGACAAACTTGACTGAATCAGAGGAATAGTGTCTAAGGCAGAGTTAGGAAGACTAATCCATGCAACTGTCTCAGGTGTGCTCACAGATTCCTCCTCTCTTGCATTAGATACACATCTTCAAGGTTAACACTTATCCCATTTAAGTGAAATCTGCATGAATTAAGTTCTGTCCGATCATGTCAGAGGTAACTGGCCAATAACAGCGTCCAGGGGGCAGGCCCAGCCCAGAATATAAATGTTGATTACAACTGGATTTCAGGGCTCTTGCCGACTGAGATCTTCAGGGAGCTTTTGTCAATTAGAGCCTAGCGCTGATTTAGTTTACCTGTGACCTGAATAAAGGTCTCAGTTCTCTGGTTTACTCTCAGGCATCCCACAAAGGCGTTGAGGTAACAGAGCTCACATGTCGCTTCACCAAAGGCAAAATTTTAAACCTAACATGTTTTCACAGTGTTTAGAATGTAAAACTGACACAAGTCCTCTTACACATTGCTTCTGGTCCTTTATGAAAGGTAAGCAATGAAAAAGGTAAAAATAAATCTGTTTAATAAACTAAACAATAATCCCTTATCTTTATTACTACAAATAACTAACCCAAATTATTACTGATCAATATAATAGAACGCTTTACAGCATGTATTACTTTCTGTGCAAGAAACTTCCCTCCAAGATAATGTTAGAAATGGGCTATAGTTAGTCACTTTAGCATTGTATGCTATAACATAATCCATGTAAAATACTCATGGTCTTATTCCTTTTAGAAAAATACTTTTGTGTTAAACTCTCTGGCTGTGCCCACAGATTCTCCTCTCTCTGTTACAGTAGATACACGTCTTCAAAGTCAACATACACACATAGACACATACACTTTCTTATCACATTCCAATTAAATCTGCATGAATTAGGAGCTGGCCTGTTCATGTCAGAGGTAACTGGCCAACTAGAAAAAGCCTGTTCCTGTGGAAGAGCTGTGAGAATGCCAAGTGCTGAATGGAGGAAGAAGAACAAGCCAAAGAAAAGCTGAAAAGGACATAGAACTGAAGAGTTGAAGAAGAATGGCATAAGGATTAGAAGACTAAAGAGTAAAAAGCCATTAAGTTATCAATAAGGTACTAGAAGATTTGAGTGGGATTTGAACCAGCGATTTCTGGATCTGCAGTCAAATGCTCTACCACTGAGAAGATAAGAATATAACATAAGAATACATAGGAAAAATTGAAAGGGGTGAACTGCCAGTGAACAGCAGGTGGAGCCATGCTTTTGACTCCATTTATTTCAATGAGAGAAAATAAAAGCAGAAAAAGTTAAATAACTTAAAAAGTTAAAAAGATTTGAACACCAAAAGTCATACCTTTGTTGAAACAGGCTGAAAACTGTGGCCGTAGTTATACGCAGAAGAAGTGAAACAGGAAAACAGAATGCCAGTATGCATTCTCAAAATAACATTATTTTGCGTCCAGTTTTCCTATTGTACAGGGCTCGCCCAGCCCAGAAGATAAATGTCCATCACACCCGGATTTCGGGGATCTTGCCGACTGAGATCTTCAGGGAGCTTCGTCAGTGAGAGCCCAGCGCTGATATACTTTACCTGTGACCAATAAATGTAATTTGTTCTCTTGATCTGCTCTGGTTTATTCTCAGGCTTCCAACTAAATAATTGGGCTAACAATACAATGGCAAAAGGTTATTCAGATTTCCATCTCTCTTGATTATTTGACATGCTGTTGTTAGCCCCGGTTGTTCATTGGAAGTGTAAGAACAAACCAGAGAGATCGTTAACAACACGAAAGTAATCAAAAGTAAAGTAAATCTGCGCTTGACTCAATGTGAGAGTGACTAAATACGATCCCTGACACCCACGTGTGGCACAAAGATGTCTTCTTGGGGTGGCGACGCCCCGTACAATAGGCTGGACTTCACGACCGAGTCTCATTAGCCAGTTACCTTTCAAGTGAACATGCCAGCTTCCTGTTCACGTGATGTTGTAGTGAATGAGTGTTGTAGTGGGCATGTATAGATCATGTAATTTAAAAAAAGTTCATCCACAATTGCATACAATATATAGAAAATGCCCCATCAATCCTAAGAAGTGGAGCCGAGTCCTGGATGGGTCCGCCAGCAATCAACACCTGTCACTGAATAAAGATATTTGGAACATGGTGACACACACAAAGATATAACTAATAAGATCCACACACACAAACGCTCTCCCTCTGGTCCCTGTTAAGAGATGTTTCAGTGTTCTTAAAAAGAATGATGCATCTTCACTTGTACACTTTCTCAGATATTTTTGAAGATACACTGACTGCATGTTGTTACATGTTTATGATTTTAGGACTGTTAATCCATACTTTTTACTACATTAAAACAACTGTAAACTATCTGATTGCCTTTAGGACAAGCAGAAAGTAACAATGCACATAAAGACAACATAAAATACTTTACAAAAATGTATCAATTGAGTTGATGCATAAAAATGAAATGAATGACTGAAAAGCTAGTGAATGTCTAAATAAAAACGCAAAGACATTTCTTAAGACATTAAGAAAGCTACCTCAATTCAATATAGGAAATTCTGACACCTTAACATAACACGAAAAAACCAGACGACTGAGCTCAGGACTTTTAACAAAGCACTTTGTGACTCACATTAAAAGTCTACGTACTGGGTTGCATTCATTCAGATGGCGACAGTCTATCGTAACAGCTTCCTAGAAGCTTTTGGAATTGATCTGTTTTACGTCATAAATGTTTTTTCTTATATCAGACAGAATTTATACCCACACATCCAACGAACTGTGCAATGTGCTGACAGACGAGTGCAATGTGCTGACAGCTTTACATTTTGACTCGTAAGGACATAAAGATAACAATATTTAAAAAAAACTATTTCTCATTTCATTAACAGAAAAATGTTAAAGAAAATAAACTCAATTGAAGTGTAGTTTCCGCTAAACTTATGTCCCCGGAAATTCTGTCAATACCAGTTAAGATAGATACCGGCTAACTAACTAGGTGTACATTGTTAATGGAATTGTTAATTATAGTACTTGCAAGCTCTATAACTACTGCAATACAATTATTACCAGATTATTTTACATAAGAGTCACATCCCTAACAACGGCAAATCATAGCCTGTGCGAGAGAGACGTCAAGTAGTTTTATTGATCGCTCATGTTCCGAACTGTCCCTAAAAGTAAAAGCCAAACTAAATAAAGGAGTCACCTCACACATCATGCAGTTTGACTGTACTTTCCAAAACTGCGAGTGCACGATTATAAGTAATTGACAAACACTCAAAAGCGCAGAAGGCCATCTAAACATCTTTCAGATAATACACGATTTGATCTCAGGCAACCCCCCCCCCCGCCTCATCTTGCAGAACTTCCAATCCTTATATTTATTTTGCAAATATCATGGAAAAGAGAGGATATAATCTCACTCAAACCATACCAGTAGCTTCTATAGTTTCATATCCACAAAAGTTCATTACATGTAACCAGAGACATAGACATCATCTTAGGAGTGATGGGAAAATACCAATACAAAATACAAAATAAAAAAATGTTTTTTGATGCAAACCTTGAGCTGCCAAATTGCCGCTTGAAGTGAGTGTGTTTGGTTGTTTGTCTCTGTGTGGCCCCGTGATAGACTGGCAACCCATCCAGGGTGCACCCCATCTCTTGCCCGTTCTCAGGTGAGATAGGCTCCAGCCCACCGTTAAGAATAAGCGGTATAGAAAATGGATGGATGGATTGCTGCCAAACTTTGGCAACAAAGTAACAAGCCACATGATTTAATTTGATGGCATGAAAATAGCAAGTGACACAACATTAAACACACTAACAATAAGAATAACAGTAATGATTAAGTAGGACAGCACGGATGTGCAAAATGAATCACAATTAAAATGGCATGACCTAAATCTGTTGCGTTTAAGCACACAAATAATACAATGTTGACCCACCGGATGTTTGTATGTGTACAATCACGGTGACTGGAAAGACTGCTAGGAAAACATGATACCGCATGTTAATAACAGATTGAACAGTTGCACAGGAGGTGGTTATAGAATTACAAGAGACTTGACTCAAAGAGATTTGGTCAAATTTATTTTTACACGTAGATTAAATTAAGCACGTGTGAATAGTTGGAGGTTCATTCAGCTCAAAAAATCCATGAAAGCCAATGGATTTTTGTGCTCTGATTCCCAAGAACACACAAGTTCCCTTATATTTGTGAGGTAAAGACCAGTCCTACACAGCTCCGTGCAGGTACAGGGCCAGAAACTTGCGGAATGCTCCTGGTTTGTATCCTGCGAGACCAGCGGGTACCTTCAAAATGAGGAACAATAATCAGAATCAGAAGAACCTTATTTTTTTCCACTTCTTATTTTCTACGGTCTTACCATGAAGTCAGTGTTAAAGGTCTATATAAGTTCATGAACAATCAAAATTTCAGTAATAATAAGGGGTTTGACTAGCTGAAATATGTCTATGGCACAGTACCCCATGTTCATTTTCTACACATGGAATTTTAGAAAAGAAAAAAATTATATTAGTTTAGTAATGCATCCATCCATCTATCTCTTCTGTTTATTTGAGGTAAGGTCAAGGAGGAAACAATCACCTTGCTTTCAACCACCAAATTGCAAAATACATATTTAGAAATAATTATTTATATATAAATTTCATATGCATTATATCAATATCTATATTTCTACATATATAATTTAGAAATAAATATATATAAAGCAATAATGACATGTTTTATTTCACATCACAACATCATTTTTTCTTTAGGATTAACAAAGTGTTTGAAGTTACGTTCAGTACAGTATTAAAATCAAATCAAAATTTCAATATTTGGTTATTGCCTAAAAAGACACTTGTAAACTATGCTTTACATACGCTTTCACATTCAATGCAGCGTTTAGATATTTTTGTCCTACTGCCATCTTCTGCATTGTAAACCTACCACAAATTCCGGACTGTAAGCGGCTACTTTTTTCCCACACTTTGAACACAGCGGCCTATATTACGGTGTAGCTAATAAATGTTTTTCATGGTGCCAAAAGCAGTAGACAAATGAAACTCATGACTACCGTATTTTCAGCACTATAAGGCACACTTAAAAGCCTTCAATTTTCTCAAAAACCGACAGTGCACCTTATCCGGTGCGCCTTATATATGGATCAAGATTGAGCTGCAACAGGTCTTGCAACTATGGGAAGCAGCCCCCGACTCCATTTTCTCCTGTAGAGAAGTTGCGCTTGGTGCATGCTGGAATATATGACTGTGCGAACCGTGCATTTTCATTTGAGTTAATTTCATTGCATTTCATTCAGCTGAACAAGGTTGGTCATATTGTGAATATGGACATTTACGTTTGAACAATGTTGAGTTATTGTTGTATTGTTATTGCTTTGGACTATTTTGAGAGTTAATATTGTGATTGCACTAACGTTTGATTTACCGTAACGGTGTCAGACTGTTTCTTTTACGTGTTTACTGAATCGAAGAAAAGTTGCCCTCCACTACATGACAAAAATGTTGCACTACCTATTATACATTGTAGTTGTTAAAAGATAAACTGTGTTGTGAAAACTTTACGTCACTGACATTACCTCGGGAAAAATATTAAAACCGCTGTTTATTAATTTTGGGAGTGAACGGAGTTGTCAGAACGCTGGTTTGTATTCTATTAATAAAGTTTGACTGACTTATCCAACTGTTTTGTTGACATTCTCTTTAGCGCAGCTGCATCTAGTAGATGCATAATGCGACTCCAGCCACTACTGTAGCTTCTATTCTTTGTGGCTTATAATGTGGTGCGCCTTATATATGAAATATTTTTAAAAAATCGTTGAAGGTGCGCCTTGAAATCCGGTGCACCTTATAGTGCGGAAAATACGATATGTCTTTTTATACGGATAAACACCCAGCTGTGCATATTCTTTGCAAAGTTTTACCGGTACTTTGTTTTCCTAGATGTTGCAACAGGTTAGCCACAAATAGTCACTGGAAAAATTATAGAAAATAGCACCTAACTTGGGAAGGATTAACGTACCTTCACTTGCTTCCTCTTGATAAGTGGTTGGACTTTTGCAAAGTCATACAGCTCCACATCTTCATCCAGCCACATCTGCATTTGAAATAAGCACGGGGTGAAAAAGAAAATGTTATCAGACTAAGGTCCTCCTTAATTTAAAATGATTGAATAAAGGAAATACTTAGAGCTGCTGAAATACAGCTTTTGAGAGCAATGTGAAAAGGTTTAGTCACCATTTAGACCTCAGTAAAATTATCTTGTAATAATCAAGAGTTTACTATTCAGTTAGAGATGTGAGTGTCGATGCTTGTGCTGCTGCCCACAATTAAGTGTTTCTATAAAGCAAAATAAAGCAACTACAACCAATCAAGCTATATATTCAACAACATTCTTTTTGTGCAAACAGCTAAACAGTCTAGTTATAAGTGTTGACTTTTTTAATGCTTGTCACGGTTTCTTATTCAGTGACATAAGTGAGCTGATCCAATCCTTTAAAACAGGGGTGTCAAACTCTTGTCGTTGGGGGCTGCTGTGTTGAAGGTTTGGACATTTTCCAGCTTCTATACACCTGATCCTGACTAAATTGAATGATTGAATGAAAACAATGTTAAAGTCTGCACATGCCTGCTAATGGTGCATTGGTGTGAATCAAGCGTGTTGGAGATGGTAAACCTCTAAGACCTGCTGGATGGTGGCTTCCTGTAGAATCAGAATAAGGTTTATTGCCAAGTAGGCTTTTGACTTACAAGGAATTTGCCTTGGTGTTTGGTGCACAACACTTCTATGAGTGTGTGAGTCTATTGTGTATTGTGGCAGCAGCATAAAAAGTGAGCTTCCTCACTGTGAATATTAAACATCCTGTGTGTTAGTCAATAGGTAAACAAAATACGTTTTAATTACTATCTACAAAGGGGATTGACTATGAAGGGAGAAAATCAGGAAAAAAGTAAAAAAAATAGTTATATGATGGAGGAGACGACGAGCAAAACATGTCATCTTAAAGACTGGCAGAGCGGGAGGAGCTATCCCAGTCAACATGTAAAAGAGAGATGAGTCGAGTAGCCAAAACGCAGAGGCCAAGTCCAATATAAACATGGCAAACCTGAAACGTTGAGAGCTGCAAGATTTTTTTAGTGAACACTAGGATACTCCTAAAGAAATTAAAGAACATATCAACGTTGCAAACAACAGGATTGAAAATGAAAGTGGAAGCTGAGGAGTGTCTACAGTGCATTTAGTATGCTACACTTGAACTACAGAAGCAGTCTGAAACCAAGTTGGTGGATCAAGAAGGTCGCTCAGGGAGGGAACACATTAGGATAAATGAAATGAAAGAAGGAGCAGAGGAGAGCGCCAACACGATGATTAATTTTATTTAGACCCTCCTGAGAGAAAAGCTGGAACTACCTTGGTCCTTGCAATTCCAGATTGAGAACCCACCATGTCCCCCACCCCAAAGAGTTTCGAAAATACGCTTCAAAACACAGTTTCCACTGAGACTTCAGGTGTTTTACGATGGAGAGACCTGCGTTTACAATACGGCTGAAGATGCGACATGGCAGAGAGAGACTTTCAGGTGACGGTGGTCAAAGTGCACTGGAGAGGATCAAACGCGTAACCTGGCAGGACATCCAAGAAGGGACAATCACCCTGGACACGAGACCTGGATTCCAACAAAAACTATGGAGGAAGTAGTTCCTACTTAAGAGGAACTACGGAAAGATTTGATGGAAAAAGCATTCATGGATGAGTACTTAATAGTTTGAACTTGTAAGGTGAGAAGTATTGGGCCTCTTCACATTCACATTTATCCCACAGAGCAGTATTGTCATTAGGGCTTATTTAAGGCAAAACTCCCCACTCCACGCAAGGAAGCTTATTTGTTGATCACTGGTTTCTCAGGGAATGTTTTAGTTTTCAGTTCTGTAATGTTCATGGCAGTCTACCAATTCTTAAGCATTACGGGTAAACATAGAATGAAGGAAAGGGAAGAATAGTGAGCATGGAAACCCATAAGAAAATACTAAAATTAGCCTCATATAATGTGAATGGGATACTTATAGGTAGATGAACAGAAAATAGCATTCTTCGCAGATGATGTATCATCAATATATTTAACGCAACTTAATATGTCTCTTCAATCACACTAAAGGATTTTGGTTCATTATCGGGCTATAAAGTAAAGGTGAAAAAAACACAGGTTCTAACTTTTAACTACGCACCAGATTGAGCAATGAGAAAAAATTTCTGATTTAATTGGGAGTCAAAATCCATTAAGTATGTGGGAGTAAATCTGCTTCAAGATCTATCTCAATTGAAATCTATGAATTATGATCCACTAATTTCTAAAATAAAAATTGGATATTGCAAGATGGAATCTATTCTCATTCACTAGTTTCAAGATTAGAAGCAATTAAAAATAAATCTTCTTCCAAGGTCGCTGTATTCATTTCAAAGTTTGCCAGTAGAAGTAACAGACAAAGATTTCACAGATTGGGATAAATTTATCTTGAGATACATTTGGCAGGGGAAAAGACCATGGACTAGATTTAGGACTCGACAGTTATCCAGAATTGAATGAGGACTGGTCCTACCCTGCCTCAAGAGCTCACACAACTAAAAACTAAAAACCTGTGAAATCCCTCATTCACAGCAAGATGGAAGGACAACTTGCTGATGGAAGCACAACATTCCTGTGTTGATGTACAACACTCCTGTGTTGTATTCCAATATTCCATAATAAATAAGAAGAGTTAAATCCACAGCTGATTATCTCTTAAAATATGGTTAGGAATTTTATCAAAAAATAATGTGACAGGGCAAAGTAGGATGCTGCGATTGATTGCACATGATTTTGGACCGAATATAGTAGATAAGAGGCTCAGTAAATGGGGCCGGGGTCTAATTATATTCTGGGTGCTGCTAAGGAAGAAGGTTATTAAAAGTGTCCAGGATTCGAAGAATCAGTATGAATTAAACAATCGGGACTTTTACAGATATCTACAAATCAGGCATTAAAGGGAGCAAATCGTAAAAATGATTAATGTGGAAGAGCTTGGGTCAGGGTTTATTAAATTGTTTATTTTAGCATATGTATCGAAAAAAATCTCAAACCTATATCAAAAAGTTGAACGATAAAAAGGTTACAATACAGCATAAAAAAGAGAAGTGTGAGGAAACTGGAAAAATTTCAGAGGAGGAATGGGAAAAGATTGTTGAGGAACAATGGAAAACAACCTGATCCCTTTCTTGTAAAGAGGATAGTTGGAAGAACATTACATTAGATATTTTGATACACATACAAAGGAAATCTCAGGACACAAGATGTTGGAGACAATGTGGAAACGATAAAGCCAATAAGTTCCATAAATTGTTGGGGTGGTCATCTATTACATCTTCTTAGCAGGGTTTACGGAAATGCATGGAGAATGTTCTTAAAGAGAAACTTCCATGTACATTTGAGGTTTTTATTTTTGGGAAAATAGACCCAGTGAACAATAAATTCAGAGGAAAAATAAATCTTCGAAATAAGGTTAGTTGTTGGTAAAAAAAAATCCTTTAAAAAGCTATTATAAGGAAGAGGCTGAAAACAGATGCAGAAAAAATTGAGGATTGGATTGAAGTGATGCATAATATTTATGTGATGGAAAGGCTGACTTTTTTGGCCAGATTAGAATCAGATAAATTTAAGAATTTTTGAAAAAAATGGTTTGATTTTGTATCACTATTTACAGCAGATTGTATCCAGTAAATGTAATGTACCTCTACTTTCAAAGTCTCACTGTACACTGAAATTGCTGTTACATATTGATTTAAATTAAAATCAAAGTTCATAATTGGCCACCAGTTTCTTAAAGGGCTTAAATTTTTTAATATGTCACCATGTGCAATATTTGTGTCAAATGTGTCTCAAAAGACAAACAAAAGTGCGAAGATTTTAATATTTAAAGGAAAATAATAGTTCAAACGATAATAAAATTGTAAAAAATAATTATAATTTTGTAACTTCAGTTTTCCGTAGAGAAGATTTATAGATCTTGGCCCTTTTAAAATGTCCAGAGGTAAATTATGTTCATGGTACTTCAGGCAAAATTACTGGTCTATAATGCAAATTTCTTTGCTTTCACAATTCCTTTTAGCAGTATCTCTCTCATAAGGTATCTTTTATTCCTGAAACTATGTTCCTTTTTTAAATTTAGTATTAAGTGGATAGCAAAAACATCTCACCTGGTTCTTGATACCATCATCTCCTGAAAAATCTGTAGTATTGAGCTGGAAAAACAGAAACTGGAAGATCCTGCCATTGGTCCCCACAGCCTGAATAGTAATAGGGTGGTCTAACATCCTCTGGGGATCAGTCTGACATGAGCAGAGAAAAAATAAACAATTACTCTGATGCAAAACAATACAATTATAAAAAGTTTTGGCAAAACAGCTCTAATTTTAGTACTAGTAGGAGGTTTTTTGTTTGACCTTACCCCATACAGTTTGTGTGCACGGGCCAAAGCATTCGCAAAGGTAAACATGACCATCCTAGCTCTGAACTGCTCTGGGCGGAGCTTACAGCAAGGATCAGCTGACTCCAGAAAGTATAGTGTATGGGCATGAGGGTAAGGGTAATCATCCCTGAAACCTAGTTAAAAGCAGAAAAAATTGTCAAGTTTAAAAACCATAAAAACAATATTATGCAAAGCTATCCTTAGAGAGAACCTAAAGACAGTGTAATTACACTGGACCAACATTTCTGTATGGTGTAAATGTGATTGGGACTGAAGATTGTCTCACCTGTGGAGTTCATTGCTTCTTTGTACACATTTACTTTTTGAAGATCAATGGTAGGGGAAATGGGATAGAAAGTTTCCAGGACGTGATCTGAAGTGTCTTCAATTTCCTTTTTTCCGAAGACCTCTGGGAGAGGATCCATGCTGCTTAGCAGTAAGCCGTTCCGACCCCTGACCTGGAACAGGTGTTCATCTGATTCAAAAATATGACAGGGAGGTCAGTTACAACTGGAATTTTATGTTGTGTAAAAAAAAAAATTCTATTTAATCAAAGAAATATTGAAAGAACGAGTGAGGTTACTCTTGTGACTAAATTATGAAAGCAACTGAGGATATCATACCTCTTTTCCAAGTGGCAGCCAACAAATAGTTCTCTGCAATGATCCTTCTTCCAATGGCTGGATGAATAGACTTTAGTGTAGCGCATAAATGGAGCATGTTGAAGAGCAATGTGTTGCTAAGGAATAAAAATGGAACAATTACAAGGGGGTGCGATTGCATGATGTAAAGTCAAAAGTTTTTTTTTCTATGTTTGTAACATAGTTATGAAAGTAAAGGTGGAGAATGAAATAATTCCATCTGCTCTTTTACAATGCAACATTGACACTGTACAGAGTAATGCTGGTATAAAAAAATCGAATAATTTTTTGTTTCTTGGCTTGGACCAATCAAACAAATGGATTTGCGTCATAGGAATTAGTCTGAAAATACACTATATTGCCAAAAGTATTTGCTCACCTGCCTTGACTCACATATGAGCTTAAGTGACATCCCGTTCCTAATCCATAGGGTTCAATATGACGTCGGTCCACCCTTTGCAGCTAGAACAGCTTCAACTCTTCTGGGAAGGCTGTCCACAAGGTTTAGGAGTGTGTTTATGGGAATTTTTGACCATTCTTCCAGAAGCGCATTTGTGAGGTCGCACACTGATGTTGGACGAGAAGGCCTGGCTCTCAGTCTCCGCTCTAATTCATCCCAAAGGTGTTCTATCGGGTTGAGGTCAGGACTCTGTGCAGGCCAGTCAAGTTCATCCACACCAGACTCTGTCATCCATGTCTTATGGACCTTGCTTTGTGCACTGGTGCACAGTCATGTTGGAAGAGGAAGGGGCCAGCTCCAAACTGTTCCCACAAAGTTGGGAGCATGGAATTGTCCAAAATGTCTTGGTATGCTGAAGCATTCAGAGTTCCTTTCACTGGAACTAAGGGGCCAAGCCCAGCTCCTGAAAAACAACCCCACACCATAATCCCCCCTCCACCAAACTTTACACTTGGCACAATGCAGTCAGACAAGTACCGTTCTCCTGGCAACCGCCAAACCCAGACCCGTCCATCAGATTGCCAGATGGAGAAGCGCGATTCGTCACTCCAGAGAACGCGTCTCCACTGCTCTAGAGTCCAGTGGCGGCGTGCTTTACACCACCGCATCCGACGCTTTGCATTGCACTTGGTGATGTATGGCTTGGATGCAGCTGCTCGACCATGGAAACCCATTCCATGAAGCTCTCTGCGCACTGTTCTTGAGCTAATCTGAAGGCCACATGAAGTTTGGAGGTCTGTAGTGATTGACTCTGCAGAAAGTTGGCGACCTCTTCGCACTATGCGCGTCAGCATCCGCTGACCCCGCTCCGTCAGTTTACGTGGCCTACCACTTCGTGGCTGAGTTGCTGTCGTTCCCAAACACTTCCATTTTCTTATAATACAGCTGACAGTTGACTGTGGAATATTTAGGAGCGAGGAAATTTCACGACTGGATTTGTTGCACAGGTGGCATCCTATCACAGTTCCACGCTGGAATTCACTGAGCTCCTGAGAGCGACCCATTCTTTCACAAATGTTTGTAAAAACAGTCTGCATGCCTAGGTGCTTGAATTTATACACCTGTGGCCATGGAAGTGATTGGAACACCTGATTCCGATAATTTGGATGGGTGAGCAAATACTTTTGGCAATATAGTGTATGTCAGTATCTATCAATACAGTACTGTGGTGAAACTAAAAGACCAGAAAAAGGGCAAATTCCCACAAAACACTATTTTATATGTTACTTGAAACAAGATGGTAGAGCAAAACCCATGTCATCAAAAACATTGTCACCACTAAAGGGGGCTCAGTTCAATAAACATTGACCTTATCATCAAGCGTTGAACATGGCATACACTTCTCCTACCTACAGTTTATTACACAGAATGCAAAACAAACGTACTTTTTCAAAAGTACTTTACAGATGTTTGCATAATACAGTCACTACAGTACCCTGACAATCTTAATGGATTGCCAGGCCACCAGTGTGAAACAATGTGTCAAATAAGTCAATACCTTTGTTGAAGAGGGTTATTCTTACCTGTATTTCACTTTACCTGGTCGATCCTCTGTCGTATCCCAGAACCGAGCATGTTTGATAATGTTCTGCACACGCTCATCCTGATCTGGCAAATGATTTTCAGGATTCTCTGCCAACGAGAGAAGGTGAGGAGGAAAACCTGACATCATCTTGGTCTTGGTCAACCATGCTGCCTGGCGCACACCTGAGACAGTAAGACAGATATTCAACAAAACATGAAGTTGTGAAATAATCTTGTCATCACAAAACAGAATGTGAATCCATGAAGTTATTAAGTTTTCAATGACGACGGCATAACAGCCAACCTATTGTGCATACCTATCCTGCTTATTTCAATTCGTCTCCTGTTTCATAACAAAATATAGTGGCCTAACTCCACACGCAGTGTTGGACCCATAGCACCAAAACGTCAGGAGCCAGTGGCGAACAACTTTGAGAAGTGTGTTTGCATTTATTTGTCTTATTAGACAAAGCATATTTGAAGAATGAGATAAGTCTTGTGAATGGGTAGACCAAAATAAATAAAAAACCAAGGTCGCTTATGGGCCTAATAACTTGGTCGCACAAAGTCACTGAGACACAGTTGAAAGGCACATGTGTGCCAATCACACTGGATTTTTCCAATGTAGTTTCCACCGTTTGCTCAAACCATGCATGTTACACGTGCATGCATAAGTCTATTCATCCTCTTTCTGGTGACCCTCTTCTCTCTGACCCTAGAGAGCACCCAAGTCACTTTGGCTGGTGAGTGTAAATAACATTCCATCTTTATCCCTCATATGCACTTAGCTACCATAAATGCCATTTATCCAGCTATTCAAAAGGTTGTCATTGCGATTCAGGCCTATTTCCAATCAGCTAGGCAAGATGGGGGTGACTTTAGAAAAAAAAGTTTTAATTACAATTTGGTCCAAATTACACGTGAGGTATCAAATCGTTTGTCTCGGGCAGGGGAAGTGTACCTTTTTCATTACTTTTACGGGAAGAGAACAGGACCCAAAATGGTTCAGTTGAAAATGACTGGAGTTTCTGACTCTGCCTCCATAAACCCCTGTTTGATCACACTCTTGACCCTCCAAAGTTAGTTTTGGCATGTGCGACATTACTTGTAGCTCCATTTCTCCTTTCAAACAGCCTCTCTGTTTTCTGTCAGCAAGCCCCAGAGCAAAGCCAAGTCACTTATGCTTGGAGCCTATGTGTTCAATGGCCTTGCCAATAGCCATCTCTGTCTATCTTATATGTGCTATGGCATCGCTGAGGAAAAGCGAATTATAGTTTATCTAACCATTCCAAAGGCTCTGAATTAGGTTTAGGCCTATAAAGATTCAGACCGCCCCCCCCCCCCACCCCCCCCCCCCCCCACCCCTGGAACCCCCGGACTACAAGTGGTCACCAATGGAGGAAAGATGGCAT